GGCTGTCAGAATCGAGATGGACATGTCTTTAGTTGCGATGCGAGGGATTGTCCTGGCTGTGAGTTCATAGATCTATATATAGACCTTCTTTCTATCATGACCATATGAATTGATGGTCATCGACTCCCTTGGACTCAATTTTCTGTGGGCCCCTCCCCCCCCTCCCCGATCACGATCCCCCATCAGTCAACGCTCGGGATGGCTTTGCTCTCCATGGCTGTTATGCACTCGATTCTGCTAGCAATTTGGTCGGAGGTGCGAATACCGTGTACCCGCTCTTCTATAAACTCGAATCCCAATATCTAGGTCAGTAAGATCGATCCATAACTCTTTCGCTCGGTCTTGACCGGGAAAACCTCAGCTTGGTACTCACCCATACCAACGGCTCCTCGCCGATTGGTTGCATACACAGAGGTCCGCGATGGAGCCGGGACGACGTTCATGTGTTATGCCGATCAGAACGTGGGAAACAGACTTGGTCAGTCGGCCCCAAAAATCGCTCGATCTTCCGCGCACATTGTAACGAGCTCCAACTGAGCCCAACTCTTGCCTCCTATCATCATCAGCCTGTAACCGATGTGCCTATGTTAGTTAACCGGACAAGAGCACCCGCCGTCCGAGCCGTCCCTCCCGGTTTCACTATGGAATCTCACCCCCCCAAAAACAAAAGGAAGACGAGTTTTGGCTGGACCATTACGTGTTTTTTTTTTTGTAGATAGTGCTCACACATGCGCCTTGTTTGAGCTTCCATTTTCTAGAGAATTCTCTCTCTCTGCTTGTAATGACTTGCGGATGGTTGATTCGGGGGGAGGGGGGGCAAGATTAAGTAGAAGAGCGTTCGGGGTATTCACACCCTTCTGATCTATAGCATTCTCCATTTCTGGTGTATATAAAATGTTGATGAGCATGTGTGAGGCTTTATTTTAGCCTTCTCTTGAAAGAATATTTTATTGTAGATAATAGCAGCACTGGGTCTTTACTATACTTGACTATAACTGGCCCTTTTCAGTATGTGCAGTCAAGTATCCTGAAATTTCTATTTACTACATATAATAACAATACTGGAACCAGTGCGTTTCCCATCAAGCTTGGTATACATAGGTATAGTATATGTAGGCCAGTTTTTGTGGCTGCAAAATTTGAATATGTATTGTAAAAGGTCTTAATGGCTTCATCAAACAATCTATGAACTCCAGAGAGCCCTTCAGTGGTCAAGAGACTCTCATTATGTATTAGCCGTAGATGTTTTATTAGCAGCATCAAGGGCAGTTTATATATATAGTAGAGTCAAAAGAGTTTTGTCCACAGAATTCTTCGGTTCCAAACCGAGGATAAATGCGGCAACATCTTCGGTTTGGGACCGTAGGCCCTGCTGAGCTGGATGAGACCATCTCCAATCCAGCTCATCCAGCTCAACTGATCAGCAAGAAAATTTTTGAATTTCAATCAGCCAACCCTTCCAGCTCACCCAGCTCATTTTCCCACTAAAAATCCAGCTCACCCAGCTCAGTTTCCCACTGAAAATACAGCTCAGCCAGCTCCATACACTACTATAAATCCAGCTCACCCAGCTCACTTTACCAATAAGAATACAGCTCACCCAGCTCACTTTCCCAGTAAAAATCCAGCTCACCCAGCTCAATTTGCCCACTAAAAATACAGCTCACCCAGCTCACTTTCCCAGTAAAAATCCAGCTCACCCAGCTCAATTTGCCCACTAAAAATTCAGCTCACCCAGCTCAATTTACCCACTAAAAATCCAGCTCACCCAGCTCAATTTGCCCACTAAAAATGCAGCTCACCCAGCTCCATACACCAGTATAAATCCAGCTCACCCAGCTCAATTTTCCCACTAAAAATGCAGCTCACCCAGCTCACTTTCCCAGTAAAAATCCAGCTCACCCAGCTCAATTTGCCCACTAAAAATACAGCTCACCCAGCTCAATTTGCCCACTAAAAATACAGCTCACCCAGCTCACTTTCCCCGTAAAAATCCAGCTCACCCAGCTCCATACACCAGTATAAATCCAGCTCACCCAGCTCAATTTTCCCACTAAAAATGCAGCTCACCCAGCTCACTTTCCCAGTAAAAATCCAGCTCACCCAGCTCAATTTGCCCACTAACAATACAGCTCACCCAGCTCAATTTGCCCACTAAAAATTCAGCTCACCCAGCTCAGTTTCCCAACAAAAGATGCAGGAAGAGGTCTGAGCACTTCAAGGGAAAGACTAGGAAGGAGGTTGGTGGCAGATGAGGTTTGAATCAGAGCTGGAAAATCAATGGTTCATTTTCAATACTGAAATTAGACACATTTTTTCACTTAAATTTCTACAGGTTAATTTTCATCACCGTTTTGACATTTAATTTTTTTCCTACA